CCATCTGGCCCGCTCGGGATTACCAGCATTGATCCAGCGCATGAAGAAAATAGAATTAGAACTGCGTTTGTAATTCTTGGACAATTTCAGCGATGGAAACGCAAACAGCGGAACGACTCTCGCGAGTTCGCTGTGCTACAAACACAGTTGGCTTTCTTTTCCAGCTCTCGAGGTAAACAAGTCATTTTTAATTGTTAATTAAGCGAAATATAATAAATATAATATATTTATATATTATATTTGCAATATAATAAATCCTTTATTAACCAAGCTTGTTCGGTTAAGACGGCTGGATATTAGCCTCGTTCTTTTTTCGCATTTTTATGGACCTCGAGTTCGTCTCGGTCCATGAAAATGCGAAAAAAGAACTCTGCCAATATCCAGCCATCTTGACCTCACGCTTGGTTAATAACGCGTATGTATCCTTCCTACACCTAATGAATAATGAGATAAGGTTCTAAAGAAACTGTGGTGCTAAGTACTTTTAGTTTTATCAGCTCCGTTGATAATGTTTCAAAGCTAGCTCTGAAACTGTCTTTACGTTGGCCAATTTACATTATTTACTCCGTTGATAAAACCAAAGTTACCTTCCTAAAACATAGTTAATCAAAATTGGAATGAATTATCTAGCAAAAGTATGGCTTTTCACAATGATAGATTCCACGCTTAAAAAATGTTACTTTCCTTATGGGTATTTCCGTAAATCCGCTGGCCTGTTTAAATCCTCACTCCCTTGCCCTGACAGCCCAGCTGTGAGAAGCAAGTTAATGATCTGTCATAAAGAACCGAGACTATTCCCACATACACCCTCTTCGACCCTGTTAGCTTTGTCATAGTGAACTAGTGAAAGTCTTAGTAAATGGTTAAATGAGTACCTTTTTCAGATCAATAACATTTATTGTTGTGTTTCATGTTGACATGTTAACATGTCTCTCTACAGTATCACCCCAGTATGAAACACAAAGTCACAAGAATTAAGTAAATGATTACCAACTTGAGAAGCTCTTGGTTAAACAACTTTTGCATCGAGCACCTTAGGGATTGTACAGGTAACAGTATGGAGAATGCAAAGTATTGCTGGGGGGGTAAAAGGTTTAGCCAGACGAGGTCAGGTTTTTCTCTCCCGGCAAAAGCACAATCAGTAGATTTATACCTTTTTTTGCTTTTTTCAAGTTTATGAAAAGACATAAGAATAAAAGCTTTTGAGTTCTCAAGTACGTTATCAGTAAACGTACATGATACCCCGTACTTAGATCGCAGCATTCAAGGAAGGATTAAAGTGTAGGGATATCGTTTCTTAAAATTTCTCTCAAAACCTACTTTCGAAAGAATCTCAGTTAGAAAGCGATGTCAGAAATTTAAGGACAGACTCCTGTCTCCCTGCCGGCTATTTTTTTCACATGGATTCCTTAAAGTCATCAAGGAAGAATTCCATGTTCGGTATTTAAAAAAGAAAAAGAAGGACCAAAATTGCTGATTCCTCGAGAAAAATGGGAGTAAATACGAAGGGTGGCGTCGATTTCCAGCGATTTAAAACGAAACGACTTTCGGATCGACAAGATGTTACGGGTCGACCAGACAAAACACTGAGACGTCACGACAATGACAAGGGAAAAAAAATCAATGTTTGGCGAAAGAGAAACAAGCAAACTGCTCAGAGTGAGAATAATATAAATAATATGGGAGGAAACTCACAAAATCGCCAGCGATGTGGAACATTAAACCTCTAACGCCATGATTTGAGTTCGGTTGTTTAATGAGTTTTACATATTAAAATGACACATAAGCGATTTCAAAAGTTTACAGAAAGGCTCCCGGCGGTATCTCTACTATTTTTTTCCACGTGGATTCCCTAAGGCAAAGGTTTTCCCTTGCTTTTAAGGAAAAAAGTCCTTATCATAGTTTTTTTTTTCTCCAAATATGCCTCTATCATTCACAACCTTCATTTGCATTTTCATCGACCATGCACATCACACATCGACAATGCACATCACACATCGACATTCCTATCCTCGCAGTGTGCCGAAAGTTTGTCATCGTGCACCCAGTTAGAAGGCCACGAGTCTCTTACAGCTCAGCGGTAAAGCGTCCGAAGTGCTAATCTTTTATACTCTAATCACCCTGAAACGATTATAAAATGTTTTTGTAACTAATCTTAATAAACACAAACACAGCATCAGGAGCGGGCATCTGGTTAAATGATGCAGGATACAGTGAGCGTTACATAATCATTAAGAAAAAAAAGCAGTGAGTAAACGATGAAGCAAAGTCGAAAGAGATGCCCTCGAGTGGCTCTTGCATAACTTACAAAGTCTTAAACAGCCTCGTAGTAACCAGGGATTCATCTTACCTCAAAGCACGCCTAAAATAACACGAATCATACATAATGACCATACTCATTTACATCATCATTGCGCATGAGCCTCACTGTTAACAATGTTATCCTCGGAGTAAGAAGAAACTTTGTCACTACCTTGTTGGCGACCTTGTTGAACGGAGCCACGAATCTTCTTTGGCTAAGTGATAGGACTTTCGAAAAGCTAATCGGATGGGGACAGTTTCACTGAGTTTTGAAACATTTGGAGAGTTTAATATCTTTGCATCATTGTTAAAATGGACCATAATTTCAGCTGTAACAGGTCCTCTAAGAAATGAACTCATCTACATATTTGTTTACAAACTAGTTTCTTCAAGTTGTCCTTTGTGACGATACGTTTTTCGCCTACAAGTGGACTCTTGCAGGGAACGGAACAACTACGGGAGAAATAGCTCGGGAGAAATAGCTCGGTAGTAACAACTTGGCAGCGGGAACGGAAACTCGTCATGATCCCCTGGTACACAGAGATCTCCTTCGAGAGAACTTGTACGGACGTCAATGATTAGACAGCGTTTGGTTCCACAGTAAATTTTTTTGAGTTCATGCTTTAAAGCGACATGAACAGTGGTGTACTCAAAAGTGTAATCGCAGAATGTAATTGAATGTAATCAAAATAGCTTACAATGTCCTAGCTTAAGTACTATCTACCTGGTTCTATTGTTCTCTAAAGTTAAATATTTAAATAGTATCACAAAAGGAGCGGAAAATGTCTCTTTGAAATTAAGTGATTCCTACTTAAATATTCCACCTGTTTCAAAGAAAGCGGATACAGTAGACTCTTGGACATTAAGAAGAGTAAACTTAAGTCATATGAAAAATACTTACATTAATTACGGTAGAGCGTAGTTCAATAGTAAAGGTCAACAAAAGTACTGACATACAGGTGCACAGTGAAGGCAATTAAATTAGATGACTTCTAGAAAAACTACTGTAGCTTTTTCCCTTTTTAAAACATCGCAATGAAAGAAAATGGAATGAATTGAGAACGCTAAAATATAGAAAAAGTAGTCAATAAATATGCTCCTAAAGATACGAAAAATCAATCAATTTCCTGTAACATCTTTGAAAATATGAAACTCTACCTAGTAATCTAAACCTCAACTTGACATGCGTCCCGGTTCTGGAAGAGGGGAATCACTTTCTCTTTTTCTAAATTTTAACGTGTAATTGTGACAGTTGTGAATGTTCAGAGTCCGGCTCTTGTTCAACCTCACCGGCAGGCAGCAGGTTTGGTTTTTGTGACTTATCGTCATCACACTGCGACTGGGGCGCCGCGCATTCACTGTCATCACCTTTCTGTGATTCATTGTCATGCGTGCTATCAGTTTCTAGTATGACTGGTCGTTTTTGGTGATATTTATCCCTTGCGATCTCATACAATCTCCTTGCTTCGACGGGACCTGTTTGTTCCACAAGTTGAAAAAACATACCACGAGGATTTTTTAGAAGAATGTAAGGCGCCTCGAACTCTTTGAGGCGACCAGCATCTAACACCTAGGTTTCAAGAAATGATAACATCGAGTGTAAATTAAATACTGAGAGAGGAAGATTGTAAAGTATCACATATCAACATTTACATAGCGTCCTACCAGTACTTTGTCGGAGTCTATAATGGTATTGAGACGATGAGCTATCGTCAACACCGTGCAATGCTTAAATTTCTCACGGATGGTGGCCTGGATCAGAGAATCTGTCCTGCAAAACAGAATAAAATAGAGAAATAAAGAGGATAAATGACTAAAAAACATCGTTACGTTTCCAAAGTATTGACCTTCGTGGATTCAGTGACTGTTTGACGCGGAAAATGCATATGGTAGGGTGATTCAGTTTTATCACGTATTCCATGTATGGGAACTATTCATTAATCATTATCAAATTCATAAGCGGGAGCACCAACCATTAGTGTCAGGTTACAGGACACTTACCTCTGATCGACATTAGCAGTGGCTTCGTCAATTACCAAAATACGGCTATGCCTTAAAATTGCACGTGCCAGGCACACAAGCTGCCGCTGACCAACACTGAAATTTGAGCCTGATTCTGCCAGCTCTTCATCCAGTTTGTTTGGCAACTCCTCAACAGCTTTCTTTAACTGGACCTGGAGGAATGGTTTATACCTTCTTCTTTAAATATATGGCCTTAATAAGCAGACTGAAATGATTTTATCAACATAATCTTGTTACCTCCTCTAACACGTTCCACAATTCAGTGTCTTGATGCTCTCCAAATGGATCCAAATTTCTTCTCATAGGACCACTAAACAACACCGGTTCCTAAACAAATAATCAACTAGTCATGTTAACAGAAAGGAAAAGCCTTGGCAATGGCCAAGATAACCAGATGTTAGAAGCTCATGCTAGGAGAGGGGGAAGGGGGGAGCAGAGTTCTACAGCATAGTCTTGAGGCTCACCCCAATACGTAACATAATCTCATGGCTTGGTCTTCTATGACGATAACAATACGATGTAATGGCAATGGGAATCAAGGAGGAGGGGGATGGGTCCTAATGCGATGGGTAACTACACAATCTCTAACATAGTAATTTTGCACCTCGATTATATCATAAAAATTACTGAAACCAATTAATGACAGGAACCACAAAATGTAGCGAACGGGTTCGATGATGATGATAATAATGACGTCGACGATGGCGATGATTATAATCAATACTGTTAATAGTATTTTTATCACTGTTTTTACTATCATTATAAAAATCAGACTTGGCGGTGAAGACCCTCTCTACTATTTCAGTAGAAAAAGACAAATTTCAGATTCTTTAATACCTGTGGAATGATGGATAATTTGCTTCTTAAGTCTTTCAGTCCAAGTTCCTGGATATTGACACCGTCGATTTCAATTTTTCCTCGGGGTTCTGACAAGCGGAAGAGTGTAGAGATAAGAGATGACTTTCCAGCACCAGTTCGACCCACCACACCAATCTAAAGAACACAGCACACCATATAAACGTAGTCGTAGAAACTTAAAGGAACGAAAGCACGTGCAATAGAATTAGATCGAAGTTGTGAGGTTGCTTAAAGATCTTCAGATCTTCAGTGTTGCAGGCTGACTCCTTGGTTTTCTTCTTCTTTTTTTTTTTGCACAGGACGGAATCGGTCTTAACTTTGGGTGACCTTGTTTTCATAATGAGTAAACAGAGAGACAGAACAGAGCTGACCTTTTCGCTGGGTTTGATGGTGCACGTGATGTGATGAAGCACATCTGGTAAGCTCCGGTGATACTTGAAAGACATATTATCAAAGTCAATCTGTCCACGGGATGGCCAATCATCTTTAGGTTTGGTGTCAGTTTCGGCTGGAGCTTCAGCTTCAAGGTCTATGTATTCCACGATTCGTTCTACAGAGGTCATCTAATAACGAATTACAAAACTAGACTTAAGACTGAAATGTTGGATGGAATATACCCATAAATGTCACAAGGATAGTTAAAGATACGTTTCAATGGTTGGCTAACCACCTCAGACTCAATCTCATAATCACAAGAAAAAAGTTTCACCAAGAATGGATAAAAAAATAACTCACTAGATTTTCAAGTTCAGCACTCTCGTCGATGAATGGTTGGAAGACAGAGGTTAACATGATAGAATATGTCAGGGTCAGACCCACAACACCAGCACTGAGATCCGCAGCTGCGACAGAAATAACAATGAGTTGAATTTTTACGCAGAAAATACAAGTGAAGTTTCAAGTGAAAATTGGTAAGTATTCAAGGAAAATAGAAACCCGAAAAACAAACGAATGAACGAATCACAAATATTTTCACTAGATCAAATTTTCTTGAAAATGGCACAACCTCGGACTTTCAATCACACAAGTGCTCCTAAATGAGAATTCTTAAAGAAATTTATTTTTGCAGGGTTCACACAACTTTCTGAGTACAAAATGAGATCTTGCTTCACACTCATGGTCGTGAATTTATCGCACAGTCTAGAAATAGTAGCGATCGTTGAAAGTTTGTTCCAAAATAGAAATTCTTACAAAAATTTCTACCAGCTCTGGAAAAAACTCAAGGCTTCTTCCCAATGTCAAGTCAAGCCTCGTTACAAAACCCAAGTTCTTGTCTTCAAAGGAAGACACCTATATATACATATATTGGTGAACCGAAGTCTTTGGATCATACCACTTACTTCCTTTTAAAGCTGCAGACACGAAAGCAACAAAGGCTAGAAACAGAACAGTAAGCATCTCCAGTCTAAAGTTCAACCACGTTTGACCCGCCAAGTAATTAAACCACGCTCTTGAGTGAGCATCTTGATAACCATTCAATTGTTCTGTAAAAGTCTCCTCCACTTCGTAGGCACGTATAGTGTCCAGACCGAGAAGGGTTGTGGAGAAATGACCAAATAGTGGACTACGACCTATAAGAGTAGAAAGTATAGAAATACTGTGGTTTTGTTTGTCGTACGTAAAGAACAACCACAAGGATTCCCTTACTTATTCCTTCAATACGCTTGATTTCTCGAGATGACTTCATGAAATAATTCCTCAAATAAACAAAACCAATGGTCACAGGTATGATTATGACAAATGTCGCTGGATTACTGACAGCTACCAGTCCTAAAATGCCAAGGCACATTAAACCGGTCTGCAAGAAAAACAAAACTGTCGACAATGAAAAGAATCGCATTTGTGCACGATCCTCGCAGCAAAGAGCACTATTTAAGCAATAGTGAAAATCAGACCTGAAAAAATTCAGGCCTGTACGGGATTCGAACCACTGACCTCTACGATACTAGTGCAGCGCTCTACCAATTGAGCTAACAAGCCAACTGGGAACAGGTCATCAAATTAGTCTGACATAAACCCGTAAGATGCTAAATCAAACACAAGGAATATATGAAAATCATATATCTGAACTGCGGTTATAGAAACGTATTTGGTAACCTACGACACGTTCTGTATTTCCTGGAATAAGCACCCGGGCGCTTAATTAAAACTTACTAAGTTAGCTGAGCAATAGGACAATAAATAAAAAGGGTAGTTACTGCACATAAAGGACATCTGCAAGCACATAGAGAAAGAAATAACTGGAACGGAAAAGATTCTGTTCTCCTGTATTGATTCCACTGTAATTGAAGCCTAAAAAGTTGTAAATTAAGTGGCTACAGAAAGGTTTTTTTCTTCGTATCGTTACTATTTAAAAAAAGTGAGGGATATGGCCAAGGGGAGAAGGGCCCTTATTCAGGGGAGGGTGTTTGTTAGTGCGTGGGCGCTTATTTGAGGAAATATGCTGGTGGAAGTCAAGGGAAAAGATTCATAAATCTACGATGGGCATCTTCATCAGTTCACGACACATGCACACCTGCATGCCGCATGAACTGTCGAGCAGTGAACTGGACGTTTCGAACACGAAAATGTTTTGTTGGTAGTACCTCAGCAGTGTATTAATCCACCCAGGGAAACAACTGATTGCTGGAACTAAAATGCTAAATCTGACCGAATAGGTGTGACAACTAACCAAGCGATGTTTACAACTGACCGAATGAGTACGAGAACTAACCTTAAGGTGCTACAACTAACTGAATGGATGCGACCACTGACCGAAAGAGGCACAACTAGTGTGGGGCTTTACTGTTTTTAGATGTAAAATACTCTCGAAAAAGAATCATTAAGTAAAGTTGTTTTTGAAACAAAGGGCGGGCCACAGGTGGATTATGCAATCTCACCCTTTACCCATGCACTTGGTAATAATTCAGTGCTACCTGCAAAACATCACATAAGATCATAGGCATCATGTCGTCTATCATACCAATGTCCTTCGCAAATCTGTTTAAGATTCGCCCTGCAACAAGTAAATATTGGTGTGAATTATTATGGAGTGCTGTGCCAGACCCGTTGGGTACGGAAAGATGTACATGAAATTTTCTAGTAGGAGTGCATTAAACTTTCTGGTTTATTAAATAAGGTAAGATATAAAAAGTAAATTCACCAATCGAGCCGAGTGGCTCCCCAGGGCCTGGGATGGGATCCCAATCCATTGCAGGTTACCCCCAAGTACTTTAAGAGGTCTCCTTGGTAGTCCGCCCTTACACAAAAAGAACGTAAAACCAATGGCCTGGCAAAAGCTAGAGTCCGGACCTCTAGACCCGGAGTCCACCATGCTAACAGTTAGGGTACTCCGTCTCCCATTCAGAAAATAAATACATCTGTAACTGAATGGTAATCAGAGCTCTTCAAAATCTGAGAAAAACTGGTTAAAAAAGTTTTAAAATGCTTTCTAAAAAAAGGAACCTTCAGTCGGTTTTCGAGAGTAAAAACTTCATGCTGTAGTAACAACTTTGATGCTTGTTGTTAAAATAAGTTCCATTTTAATAACTCATTTGATTTTACCGAACATCTATCTATCTAACTGTTCCTCACCTATGGAATTGTTGTCAAAGAAGTACATGGGTGCTCTTAGAAGACTATTGAACATTTTGTCGTACAAGTTCCTGGAGGCAACTACTGTCAGTGTGTAGAACAGCTCAGTGGAGAAAAGACACAACAAAAACAGTCCTATTACCAAAACACCATAAATCCCTAACAGCAAGCTCCGGTCGGGTTTTGATACAGCAGTCGCCGTGGAGTTGCTACTCTGAAGCATTGTAGCGACGAAGTATGATTCCTCCGTATTAGACCTGCATCAATACAACACAACACAAAAAGATGTAGGCAGATGTGCATAATGCAGTTACCAAGAGAAGGAAAAAGTGACCATCGTTTTCTATTTTTCAATGGTAATCGGCATGGTACGATAGGTTGTGACAAAGAAGATCGGTGCCAACTTAATTATAACCCTCAGTTAACCCTTTCAGTCCCAAGATCTCATTGACAATTCTCCTCGCTGTTTGCAATACAATTCTCATGATGTTGGTTCTGAGAATTTGGTATTCAATGAACTAATAATCTCTTAATTTATAATTTTCTTTATTCTTATCACTCGTCTATTTGATATTGTTTTGACATTGTAAGGAGAAATTCTGCCTGGTCACTCATGGAAGTTAAAGGGTTAAATCACGGGGTAACAACTGTACATAAGTTTCTTTGTCACCTCAACTCCGAACGAAAAAAAGAGAAAAAGTGACGAAAATTCGCTCAGGCCCAATTCTAATTATAAAAATTCTTGACTTTGGCCCTGTTTCGAAGCATAATAATGCTTAAATAACGCGTAATGGATTAGTAAACCAAGAACAACTTTCCGCAGAAATCAGGTCCGAAAATGGGTACAGAGAATATTGGTCTGACCGGCATAGGGTCAGGCCACAGACAAACGGGTCTAAGAATCCGAGCAAGATTTCTACGCCACGTAAATATTTCGATAATTTTTAGCAGCCATCTTTGAAAACCGGTTTAACGCGAGACCGTCTCCTCTGAAAGAGAGAAATTTTATCATGTATCCCAGATCAATAGGAAAGCAATGATGAAAAATAAGGCTGTTAGTACTGCGACACTATCAACGCACAGGTGGCTCAGTAAATACCAATGCATATTAAAAAGAAAAAGTGAAATTGTTTTCATCTTACCAATAGGACAACCACCAGTCCGCCAACATTGACATTACCTAAAAGAAAAATTCGAATATTGGCAACCAATTTAAGAGCCTGAATTTCTTCAATACTGAAATGCCTACCATAAAGTTTTAATCAACAAATCTAGATCGTCATTTTCAGTGGAGTCTTCTTAATTTAAAATCGTGGCTAGAAGAATCTGAACCGTTTCATTATTAATATCCTATTTTACTACAGAATGTACCACGACTGACACAGTTTACAATGGAATTCTAATAACTTGGACTCATTTTAACAAGTTTACTCTCAATCCTGCGTATGGATGCAAAAAGACGAGGAAAACGATGCTAAAAACACACATTTGGGGATACTTCGGGCCGGTTACTTGCACGATGTCTAACCCAAACCGCGGTTTTTGCACAATCACGGCCTCACGGATTCTCTATAAAAGGGTTGATCTAATGAAATAATTATCCTTCCACTATTAGCTTTCGGCCTCCTTGACATCGATCACTAAAATAAATGTCCAGATGAAAGTCATAATTAAAGTGAAAAGGGCTTATAGAACGCGGTTTTGTTAGACAAAGGCTGAACTTTGTTTAATTAATCAGTCCTATATCTTCTGACTGGGACTGGTCCGTTAAAAAAAGCCTCTTCACTGTTCAATTCAGCGACATAATGAACTGAAAGTTCATTATACCTGACAGAGAGCAAGTAAGAAAACAGCAACAAATGCAGTTCCTAGATTATGTAAAGTACGGAAATATGCCAGATACGTCTTGGCACTGACAGCTCCTTCTTGTTTCTCTTCTCTAGGAAGTAGATTGTCGTCCTACAGAAGAATGGTGAACATGATAGAATCAAATAAGAATCGATGAATTTAAAGACGTTAATTTACAGCAAGTTTCCTAATATCATAAATAGTACCTGCACGTGTACATTTCACATTCTACCATCAATCCTTAAATACCAAAGCTGAGCCTTATAAAATATTGTCATGGTGGCTGTCTTTCGTTATTTAATTCAAAAAGTGTACTTTGTTGGTAAAGTCCACCCTGTATTAAGCGGCGCCACAATAAGCCGTCCCTGTATTAAGCAAGAGGCTTTGAAAGTCCCGAATTCCCCCCACCTCCCCCCCGCAACACTTCGACTGCTATACTGCTTTCAAAACTGAGTTTGTATGATAAAGGCGAGCATGATGATGTACTCAGAAGATGTGAAAGGGAAGAAACAGCAATCAAAGACTTACGTAAGCAGAAAATGTTGTGGCACCAGACACAATGGAAAAAGTACTGTCAGCAATTTTACTCAGGCGATGGCATGGGAAGCTTTCCTGTCGACTTAACTGCCTAGCAACCATCAGCCTTTCAGCATCTTTTGCTTCTACTTCACGACCTGCCTCTGCTTCTGGATTCATCAAACATTCCATGATGTTTGTACTTCCTTTACATAGAGAGAGTTCTTTGTAGGGTCCTCTATTGACTACTTTTCCCTTTAAATAAAAAAACCGAAAGGGTCAACGATGATGTATGTGGGAAGAAGGTTACGCGGCTTCACTCAATCCCTCGGCAAGCAACCAGATCTGAATTGGAGTCCGCTTCAACTGAAGCTACCACTGACCAACAGAGAAACTATTGATGAGCCAGGTTATATACAGTGTAGTATACCATGCATTGCTACAACAGAGAAGGAAAAGTAACATTGCAACGGCTCAAAAAAATTAAACAGTCATGCAGCTTGACGTGTCATTTATGAAACACCAAATTATCATCTCAAACTGACTGAACTCTTTGAGTTACGGCTAATTTGTTTAACTTCGCCGATTTTTAACTCATTCTATTTCAATTTTCGATTCCGAGGTGTAATGTTCGAAGTCTTCCTTCGTAATATGATGTTGCGAAACATAACAGCTGACGAATTTACCTTATCTAAAACGATGATATGATCTGCTTCTCCAATGTGCTGCAGCTGGTGAGTTACTAAGATGCGTGGCTTCTTTGCCAAATATCCACAGATACACCTTGAAAAAGCACGTGCACCAAATTTCAGTTATGCTGCTAGTGTGCAGAGCTCAAGAGCGATGATGATTGTGGAATTTGACGTTTTTCACCACACGTTTGATGCGAAATTAAAAAGAGGAAAAAAGCTCACACACGAGCTGCTTTGATGCGAAAATCAAATGAGGGCAAGCTCTGTTCTTTCGCGAATTTCGAAGAAATTTGAGCTTTTTGAGAGCCTTAAGCATTGTTAATATAGGTAATAATTGATAATAAAATTTGAAACTTTACCAATAGTGCCGTTCTGTACCACAATTTGGCTCTAATATCGAAAGAAGAATAATAAATCACCGTTCGTAATCAGTGACCACGGTGCTTGCTTTCGGGAGATCACGTGAGCTCTGGCTGTGATGGAGATTAGTCACTGTAGTTAGTCCTTTTTATAGCATTTGATTGGCTAAATTCATCTAAAGGTTTTATTCTAATGTCTCGATAGAGCAGGTGAATGTAGTTTACAGCTTCCTACTTTTCAAATAAGTGTCGGCCGACGTCAGCATCTACAGCACTCAATGGATCATCCATCAAATAAATGTCTGCGTCGGCATACACAGTTCTGAAAGAAAGAAAATTCACGTATCAACAGCGTGGTCTTTCACATTTTTAACATTACCAATAGCTGTGTTTTAGTATTAAGTGTTTTCAGCTGAACTGAAAAGATTCAAAACCTAGCTTGATCTTTATTTCGTTTTTGAAGAGGGGGGCTCACGCATTCCGCCGACTCGTTTCACGAACAGGGGTATTGCAGCAGTGTGGATGTGCTTATAATGCGGCTGGTCCGGCATACTTAAAGTAGCTTTTTGAGCCCGTAGATGATCGCATGGATAAAAGCTACAAACTTTTCTCAGTTTGATGGGTTACCAATTCTAAGCTATGCTGCGTGCGCACTTTGATCTCCGCTGTCAGTTTACGTAAGGGGAAAAAAACCATATGAAACCCCATCAAACTTGCATCAAATGAAAGCTAACATGTAGTTAGATATTGCCACATTAAAAGCGCGGTCAAATATAGCGAAGTCTAAAGAAACGGACTTGGCGTCCTCTCTTTGTGTTAAGCATAATACGTAAACAATGTAGCCGGAAGAGGGAACATCGCTGACACACTACTTATTATTCTAAAACTTCAAAGTTTGATCCGTTTGCCCTTCAGGGTCTCCTAGGAGACAGTCACTTTCTGAAAAATTTCGCCGTGTTTGCGCGCACTCTTAATTTCGCATCATCTATACGAAAAAAGAATAAAGTCCAAGATCTAGTCTTTCATATGATACAATCAAGGCCTATAAGATTTTATAACGAATTGTATTACGAATTTATTACGAAAACTCATGTTAAAGGTCATGTCGACATTCTTTGTGCTTTTCTAAAGAAAGGACGCCAAGTCCGTTTCAGTAAACTTCACTGCGTTTGTCACAATATGTTACTGCTTCTAGCTTTTATTTGATGTAAGTTCCATATGATTTCATAAACATTGACAAAAATCCGCCACTTGGCGAAAATTGCTGGGCGAAAATCACTCTGGTTTTGCTGTTAGTAAACTGAACATAATCTTCGTGATATCAACATGTTTCATTTCATCTCATGGTTAACGTTCCATAATGGGGACGCCTCACATAACTTCTGATCTGAGACCCTTTCCCTTTTCGCAATAAACTACTACTTAACAACTG